TTTCACACAAACTCTTCATTGCATTGAATTTACTCTTCATTTCAATCAAAGAAACACTCATTAATTTTGAACACATTTTTTATAAAACAATAACACTTTTCAATTCATATATAACTTTATATACTGTAACTATAAATAAATTTATTAACTAAAAGTTGCCAACATTTAATTGATTGAGACAATGGTTTGAAAGCATGTGTTTTTAGACTTAAAAACTTATTCGCAAATATATGTCAACCAATACTATAACCAGTTTTTCTTTTTCCCTCACTTTTCTTAGAAATATTCAACAATTGATATATAATTAGCATAAAACAAGAGTTACAGTGCGAACTCTCTATAAGAAACGGCCAGTTGGACGGCAAAAGTGTTTCTTATAGGGAGGGTCTCTCGAAGGGAGTTTATTTATAAACACGTTTAACATCATATTATATTTGTTATTCTGTTATTTAAACTGTTTCTATGATAATAATTAAGAATTTCAATTTCTTTTAAGTTAAACTAATTCAAAATATATACAGTATATATTGTGTTTGATTTATTTTACTATCAGTGATACAACTTATATGTTATACTGAGAAATTATCTATGTTGTAAAATGGATAATTATATTTTATTAGTGATAACTAAATTATTAAATTAAACAACAGTTCAATACATTAAATAAATAGTATTAAACAAGTTATATAAATGCTCAATTAGAATATTTAATTTTATTAAACCAAGGTACATTTATAGTTTTCTTGTCAACGATCTAGCTCGTTTGCCAAACAGCAAAAAGTTCTTGTTTAAACAAGTGGTGGCAAATTTGGAGCCCTTGATTTCGGTCGGTGTGGCACAAGTAGAGCCCAAGAATTTCTTTTCATTTGCCTCGTTTACAAAGTCAGCAGGGAAGTTTGAGCAATCACAGTTTAGATTGTTCTCTGTAAAATATATAAATTAATATGAAACATGGTGGCATTAGTATGGCATAAGTAATACTATCCAATGTACATTTATACTGTATTAATTTATATATAGTAATATAGAGTAATTTAGTTTCTTAAACATTACATTAATTTAAAAAATTTGCTTGTACCTTATATTTATTATATATTTATAATATTCTATAGTTAAAAAGCAACATGATAATACTTACTGGACAAATCAACAAAATCGGCCTTAACCAGCTCGGTCAACGTTTTCTGACTTAATGTGTCCAAACCGGCGCCACTAATAAATACATTTTTCAACTTAGCCGGCACAGTGGTATCAAACTTTTTGAGCGCGGGCGTTTCCGACAGATCTAATATGGCCAAATTGGCGTAGGTGGACAAATTGACCTTGAACGTGGTCAAACCGGTAGCGCGCAGTACCAGTGTCTGTAGGGTAGGGGCCAACGCGGCCAACGCATCTAGATCATCAAACTCGGGCGCTTTATGAATGACCAGAGTCTTTATGGTTTTCACTTGTTTGCCAATCGCTTCCCACTCCTCCGCACGGATGGCCGGGTTGTTCGACAGGACTAGTGTCTCAAAAGTCGCACCCAATCCGGTGAAAAACCCGGTGGCCTTTCCCTTCGGTCCAAACCCCTCGAGTTTGGGCGAGTCTTTGATGATTACGCGCTTAACAACGGTTGTGGTGTCGAAGGGGGTGTCCGGGAGGCGTGCGTTCGGGTACGCGGACAGTATAAAATCGTCGATTTGGTAGCCTTTGGTTCGCAGGCGTAGGTTATCGCCAAAGTCGGTGGCGGACCCGACGGCACCCGAACACGTCAGCACCACTTTGTAGCTAAAGTCGGCTAAATTCTAGTGTAAAAATTATTATGCTTGTTATAATATAATTTTATTTGTATTTAACAATATTATTTGGGTTATATGTTTAATTTTTATTAATTAATCAGCGTGTATTTAGTTACATACCCAGTCCCCTTTGCACGTACACCCTGTGATTGTGCCCGAATAGCAGCCATAAATAGCCCCCTGGGCTACCAGTGGGCATAGGGTGACCAACAGTAGACTCGCCAACGCTTTGCAAACAGACATTGTTTTTTGTTTTGGTTAACAAAATTGTTTTGCTGATTGTGTGATGAGTTTTGCATCGAATTTATATACAATTTGATGTCATAAACATTGCGGATATCTATTTACGGATCTGAAGATATGGATGTGTTATCTGATGTAAAGTGAGGTAATTCATCAGAATTGTAATTAAATTATGTTTAAGTCCATTGAATTTTTATATAGATGCAATAATTTATGATTAAGATTTATGACATTGTGATTATATAAATTATTATTTGGTAGTCAATGCGCGTTCTATTGCACAATTAGCATTCAATCATGGTTACGTACAACTTATAACTTATCTATATATTTTAGTGTTCTAGTTTCTATAGTGAATAAGATCTTTAATGTCATATATACGGACATTATATTCTAAGAATTGTTATAATAAATCTACCTGAATCTAAAAATTATTGTGGTTTATGATTTATATTAATCTATAAAATGTTAAAATGATACAAATTCATAGAAATAAGATACATGTACAGTATGTTATGGATCATAATTAACTGTAGTACAGTACATCATGAACTGGGTGAACCATGAGTTGTGTGAACTAAGCATTTGTATGAACCAAATCTCAAAACACAAATAAGTCTCTCATAGACATAATGTTAAAATAACATGTATAATCAAAATTTTAAATATTTAATTAATTAAACTACTATTTTTAAAATGTAAATTTTGGTTTTTTAATATATTTTTATTCTTACGATCAGAATAATAATTTAGTTTAATATTGATTTAAGCAAATTTTAAACATATTGATAGAATGTTAATGTCAAAAGTATAATAATATAATTATTTCTATTTGTGCATTATTTTTATAATTATTATAAAAATGCTTAACACAAAAATTACTCAAAAATTGTAAACAATCTTGTTTAATAAAACTTTATAAACGTTAAGTAAAATATTACAATAATAATATACATGTATTAAGAATATTATTAATATATAAAAACATGTGACAATATTTGGTAAACAGGTTTTCACAATCAATGAGAGCACGTGTTGTAAAGGATATACATTTTCAGTCATTTTGTGATTTTAGATTTTCATTTTTTAAACAGTATTTAAATCTCAAATTTATGTAATTTATATTTACTAATAAAATGTGTTCAATATTAATGAATATTTCATTACATGAAACGAAGAGTAATTTATATGCAATAAAGAGTTTGTGTGAAATAATAGACAAAATTCAGTGTATTTTGAATACAAATAAT